TGGCAAAGCTGGTTGCAAGTTTAATTTTATTCTTTTAATTTTAAGGCCAAAATTGAATTAATTTAAACTAAACACATAACATGCAATAAAAGATTGTCTAAATAAAAGCAAATATAACACATCAAAACAATGTAGAAGGAGATGACTAATTCCATGGCTTACGTTGGAAAAGCCACGGGATAACGCGCTCGTGGCCCACTCGATCACACATGACAAAATAAACAGTGGTTGACTATAACTAGAAGAAAAGAAAGGAAAAAGAAAAAGAAATTTACAAAAATTAAATGCTCCTATGCCCCTTATATGGGTGTTATCACTTCTATGAAAGAAAAATAAAATAACTACAACTTGACTTGGCAAATAAAAATGCTAAGTAAACTAATGGTTGAGTAAATAATGGCAAAGGACCTAACTGAAAGCATAAAAGTAAAGTTCTGGGGTCAAATTATGAAGTTCTAAAACTCTGGGATTAAATCACAAAGAAAGGGAAAATTGAGGGACTGAAATTATAAATTTAGACAAATAATCATCTTCTCCAAACCAGCTAAACGTCAGCTGCCGTTTCGTCCTTCTTCTCCGACGAAAAACACCAGAAAGTTCAACTCTGGCCAATCCCAAAAGAAAATGAAACTCGCACAAGCTCCCTCTCACACAATCTCATGGCATAACTCGAGTTCATACAAAGGAAAGGATAAGAAAAAGAAAAACAGAAAAAGGTGCAAAAAGAAAGCACATCAAGATCTCTCAAAACTCTCCTTTCTACCCTGAAAATCAACTATTATGTTTTGACAAGCATTGAACTTGCCGAATATTCGTTTTCCTCACACGCAAGATGCAGGTCAATCGTCCTTCAGGTAGAACTTTCAGTTGGGCATTTTATCAAACAATAAATGGGCATGAAGAAATTCAACGATTCCCTGCTCAATCGAAGTTATAACTAGCCTCGCATCCTCAGAAACACAAGGGATTTCAATCCAATCAACACATAAAGCATGTATATTCACAAAATCGTGGATAAACAACAGGAAAATTGCAATAGACAAATTCAAGAAAGATGTGCTTTGAGAGCTTCAAGAGTCTGAGCTTGAAGAGAAACTGAAATTTAAAGGAAAAGGATAGCTTACAGCGCTCTCTCTCGGTGAAGATTCGCAGGTGGTGGTGGAAGGTTCTGGTGCTGGCAGCGAGCTACAATTCCTCCGCCCAGTCTTTTGCTATGTTTTCCCTTTCCTTTTTCTTTTGTTCCCTTTTCTGGATTTTCTCTGTCTTGCAATTTTTTGATGGGGCTTGGATTTTCTCTGTTCCCAAGAAAAATAAGAGTATAAAAGAGGAAACAGACCTGGAACTATAATTTACTTATAAATCATTGTGATATATGTAATAGCTATAACGTAAAAAAAATGATAGTGACTGACGTATACACGATGATATAAGAAAATTCATGCCATCGACTATTACATCTCGCACATGGTCCGCAAATATTCCAGTCGACCAAGCCAGACAGGTATTTGTTTCTTCCTTGGACTACTTGCCAAAACAACCAAACTGAAAAGTACAGACCAAAACATTGAATTACCAGCCACTCAAAATTTCACAACTGGGAGGACTAGCGGAAAGACGTTGGCAAATAGAATTTTTCTTCTCAAAAACTGGGTAGATTTGAGAAGGTGAATTACTTGCACAAGTGGAAATTGATATCACACGACCAAGAGAAAACAAGTATATGTACTTTTGTTAATAAGAACTGCTTCACGTAGTCAAGACAGACCTCAAATCAATGAGAGCCACAGTAGTCAAGACAGAAAAGGCTAGAAGGACCAAAATTATTTAGTAATCTGTTAAGGTAGCGATTTCCTATCCTTCTTTAGCTAACATCCAATATTTGACATTCCCTGTTAAATGCTTCACCAAAACCTCAAATCAGTTTAGAAGGTCGAATGTAAATATTTCTTTACCACTCTGACAAGTTTTACTAGTAGAGAAATGACCAAGATCAACTTTCTTGTTGTATATATCACAAGGACAGTAATCCTCAATATGCATTAGAGTTCCATATCAGGATGCCTAGAATGCCTAAAATATGGATTTTCTTGAAAGCAGAGGGAACACCATGTGGAGATACGTGGTTTTCACTGTAAGGATGATCCTTAATCTCGTGGCAAAGTGTAAATCGAGTAGATTCCATTTAATGCACTGATCATGAAAACTTACCAATTTGAATGACCATTATAGATGTCCATAAACATATTGTGCTGAAAATGACTTTGGCGAATTCTCATAAACTTTCAAAGTTTTGTCTTAAGAAGGTTAAAACTTCCTTAGAAACCTATGATAAGCAGCTATGATGCAATCAGTTAACCAAATCAAAAGGGCGGACAATTATATTCTTGAAATGCTCAACAGAATTGCAAAATTTCTCTGCATCCAAGCAATGCAGAGCTAAAAACACCATAGGATCATGCCTGTTGAAATAGCAAAATCCATTTTCTTTCAAAATCTGATTTATGGGATCATGCCTATGAACTGCTAGCAATGTACATACATAAAAATAAAACAGGTAACACAGGGACAGAGAAGTTTGTTGGTGGATTGTGGCTGGGGTTAGAGGTGGAAGGATGGACTGGAGACTGTAGTTGGTAAATTAGAAACACAGCACACAGAAGTGTCTTGGAATCTCATGACTTGGGAAGCTGCCCTGCTTGTGTTTCATTTCGTTTGAGGAAAGATTTCAGTATATTAAGACAGAAGTGTTTCCACGGTTATATTCCCTTTTCAATCAAGCAGCTACGGCAAGAACCAGCCCTTGGCTTCACAAACTCAATGAATTCACTAAAACTTTTACAAATGGTCTCACCAGATTGTAAGAAAAATACTACCCTACCCTACCCTACCCGAATTCTGATTCCAAGAATCATAAAACCCCCAATTGCAATTCCCTTCTTTTTTTTTTGGTTTTCACTTGGACAATAACCAATTGCAAACACTGGCACATCAAGCCTTAAATGAACCATCAGAGGAGAGATTTATAAAACTAAAATATTAAGTAAAAACCCATTAAAAAATACACAAAAAAGACCAGATATAGCCATCAGTCAAACATCAAACAAGCCCAACGGCTGACAGAAATCAATAGCAACACAAACAGGAAGTAGATCTTCAATGTCAAAATTCATATCTCAAATAGAAAAACATCATACCTTTATTACAAAACCCCTTCTTCACTGAAACAGTGAACAAAAGGGCCTTTCCCAGATTGCTCAGAATCCGCAAGATTTAGCAGAGAAAATGTCCAAGGAAACGGACAAAATTTATAAAAATGGATTGTTGAAACAGGGTTATTGTTGCTTGATGGGAAGGGGGAAAAATTGGCTTTTGGGTATGGGATTATTGGGTGACTTAAAACTACTACTACTAATAAATAAGGCGCATGTTACAAAGACGGAGAGGCTAAGAACTAAGAAAAAGAAGAGGAAGAAGAGAGTGAGAGGTGGGGGATGGATGATGCCAGGAAGAAACGACAGGCAAGAGGGGAACGAAGGGGAGGAGAAGGGCGCTTTGACAGATTTTTAACGTGGTGAAGAAAAAATTGAGACATCTTTAACAGAATTCTGCCGGGCATTTTTTTTTTTTTTAAATTGGACTGGCTGCCGAGCTCAATTTTTTACAGAATTCGGCCTGCTGTCGGGCTGACAGTATCAGAGTTTAAAAAAAAATGGACAAGGGGCTGGAGCGGTTGTCAGACAACCGCTCATAAACTTTTCATGGCCAAGATGTGGTGGGCCCATCATCAACGGCCAAAACGAAATGAAACAAAATGGAGATGACTGTAGAGGATTGTTGCTTTAATACAAGCTTAACTTTTAACTCCGTTTGGTCTGGCCGTTAAAGGGTATGAAAAATTCAAAGTCAAAATTTGAAAATCAACTTTTGGTACGATCAGCGGGATTTAAAACTCTTTCAACTTAAAAGATGTGGGAAGAAAATGGCGGTAGTGAGTTTTTCTCTGAACACAATACATTGTCGCTGTAGCTCCTTTTGTTCTTCTCCTCTCAACAAGCTCCTTCTGTTCTTCTCCTCTCAACAAATTATTTCACATAACATAAACATAAATTTTTGTCTTCTTTTCTTCCAACTCTTAAATAAACCCTATCAAAACGGGCATCTTGTCTGAGGTGTGCACAAGATAATTGTAAAGATCCGCTGCAGCAATAATACACGCCGATTTAAGTAGTGGATGACTGAGATAGATATTCATCGAGTAACAAATGCATAGCCGAGACTTGTGAGCGGCTCATCTGAAATTTACTGCTTGGTGAACTCTGTCCAAGGTAAACGCTAATATTACATGTAATTTGATTGTAATAAATGTGTTATTTAGTGAAGCATGATTTAAAAATTATAAGAAGTATGTCATTATCCTTTTAGAGAGAATGGTTAACTTGTACAATAAAGATCCCGTACAGAATTTTAAAATATAAATGAGGATGTGTACAAATAAAATAACATAAGCGTAAAAATAACTTAACAATGTGACCAACTTAAGTAACTACACAAACGGTATAGATGACAATGTATAGATTTTGAGAATTCTGTCAAACCTTACGCTATGTAAAAGTGTATAAGACATACATGCATTGGTTATGTTACAAGTTGATAAAAAGGCTGTACACATTGTTATAAAGTGTGTACATATGATTGTAAAGTATGTAAATACTGATATTATACACAAATTGGTTATAATATTTGTTTGAAATGTATCTATTATATAGTGAAATATGCTATGCAAATTATTAGAGTTATGTGATTATCTATTACAGAGAAGATACACATCCATAAAAATTATTTTACAAAATGTTGTAAGGTGTGTACACGTTGTTATAAAGTATGTACATATGTGAATACAAATAATTAAGTGCTTATGATGTGAATAAAGAAATAAAAAATAAATATAATTGTTTGTCCTTAAAACAATAGCAAAAAATGCTTTTGTCGAATACAGCACAATGGAGGAAGCGTTGTGTCCTAAGATTGGCATGGAGTTTCAGTCAGAAGATGAGGCATACAACTTCTGCAATAGGTACGGATTAGGTGTTGGATTCAGTGTTCGGAAAGACTACTTGAATAAGGATAAAGACGGTGTAGTTACATCAAGAAGGTACACATGTTGCAAAGAAGGTTTCAAACCACGGTACGAAGGAAATGTAAAACCAAAGAGAACTCGGGCTGAAACAAAAACCGGATGTGAAGCTAAAATGGGGATAATTTTGAACAGAGAAACAATGAAGTATCAGGTTCGAGATCTGGTAATCGAGCATAATCACACACTACACATTTCAGAATGTGCTCATATGATGCGTTCGCAAAGAAAAGTAAGTTTTTCTCAAGGAGCCCAAGCTGAAATTGCAAATGATGCAGGAATATCCTTGAAACAATCCCATGAACTCATGGGAAAAGAGGCAGGTGGATTAGGCAATATTGGCTACACTCGTGATGACTTAAAACGCTATCTACGAACAAAAAGAGAGAGGGGATTAAAGTATGGTGAAGCTGGTGCAATGCTACGATACTTTGAAGAACAAAAATTGGAAAATCCGTCATTCTTTCACGCAGAGCAGCTTGATTGTGAAGAACAAATTACAAATATATTTTGGGCTGATGCATCAATGCTGATGGATTATACCTATTTTGGGGATGTGGTTACATTTGACACCACATATAAAACTAACAAGGAGTACAGACCATTGGGCGTGTTTGTGGGATTCAATCAATTTAGACAATTGGTTATTTTTGGAGCAACTCTATTGTACGATGAGACCATTGAATCATTCAAGTGGGTGTTCGGTACATTTATAGAGGCAGTTTGTGGAAGGCACCCAAAAACCATTTTCACAGATCAGGATGCAGCCATGGCCGCTGCAATTTCAGCTGTTATGCCTTCAACATACCATGGTCTGTGCACTTTTCATATTAGAGTCAATTTTATGAAACACCTTGGGAACTATTACAAGGATGGTAGTAATCTCCTATATAGATTTGCTGAATGTATGTATGAGATAGAAGATGAAAATGAGTTTATCATGGCTTGAGATGCAATGCTAAAAGAACACAAGCTCGAAACAAATGAATGGTTGTGTGGCATTTATGCATGTCGAAAGAAATGGGCAAAATGCTTCATGAAAGGCGCCTGGACTGCAGGTATGCGTAGCACCCAACTAAGTGAGAGTCTAAATGCTTCCATAAAAAATTATCTGAAACTTGATCATGACCTGGTTCAATTCTTTAAACATTTTAACCGAGTTGTGGATGAAAAAAGATATAATGAACTAAGAGCTGAGTATCACAGTCGACAGAAGCTGCCAATGTTGGGATTGCAACAGACTCCCGTACTGATCCAGGCAGCTTCTATATACTCTCCATGCATGTTTGTTGCATTCCAGAATGAATACGATGAATCCACTACAATGGTGATCTTGGACCAAAAGCATACTACAATGCATGTGGAATACAGTGTCAGTCACTATGATGGAGGAAGGGAGAGAAGAGTGATATTGAATCCAATAACTAAAGACATTACTTGTAGTTGTAATCTTTTTGAGCAGGAAGGAATCCTATACTCACATGCTTTAAAGGTGTATGATATGGTTGGAACAAAGTTTATTCCTGATCAATATGTGACAAAGAGGTGGACAAAGAAGGCAAGGTCCGGAGGCAGCGTCGATTGCAAGGGTAGAGAAATATCATCAGATCCGTCTCTCTCTATTTCCCATCGATATAGGCTATTAGCACCCGAAATGGTAAGACTTGCTACTAGGGCTGCCATGTCAGAAGCCGCTACAAAGTTAGTCAGTAGCGTAATGTCTGAATTGTCAAAGAGAGTCGAAATGCTATTTTCTAGAGAAATAGATGAAATAACACAGAATAGTGCATCAATGGATCTATGTAAGGAAATACAGGTGCAGAATGCAGCTGGCCACTTTGTGACTCCAACGGGTTTGAAGAAACGAAGTGGCAGAAAAACTAAGAAAGTATTGCGTAGTTGGGTGGACAGGTTTCATAGGCAAAAGAAGAACTCTAGATTGTCTGAGGCAAGCACTCCTGAGATGGTTAGTACCGAATCTTATTTTTGAACTTACATAATTACATCATTTCAATTGACTCTACTATCGTAAACCGACTGAGTTGTTGTATATTCTTCTCTTGTCAGTCATCAGAATCCTATCAACCTATCCAAAGTCAAACATCAAACAAATGTTTGTCATCGAATAATTCTGTAGCAGTAAGTAGTTATTTTTATACTTTACATAATGTGCATTATAGTTCACTGTTAGTTATTTAGGTGTTACAAATTAATATTTTACTTATACACATTGGTTATAAGGTGTACATATTAGTGATAGGATGTTCATCATATGTTATTTATTTTTGACACAGTAATATCATATTTTGTACATATTAGTTGGTACACATTACGGAGATCTCTTAATTTAATAGCATTTATATGTTGTTGTTTTATGTGTACAAACTGATATATATGTTGTACGCATTGATTGATACCATGTACCACTGGTTACTTTGTTTTGAAATATGAATAATTTCATTCGGACACATGATTACACATTTGGATAAAATTTTTGACAGATTATTAATTTATTTGCTCACATTTATTTTTTCAATCGTACAAGTTACAATTATTTATCACCCGTTGTTTAGTTTTGACATCGTGTTATTATTCTGGTACACGGTGTATATTAGTTGGTACACAGTATGGAGATCTCTTGATTTAATAACATTTACATGTTGTTGTTTGATGTGTACAAACTGATATATATGTTGTACGCATTGATTGATACCATGTACTACTGGTTACTTTGTTTTGAAATATGAATAATTTCATTCGGACACATGATTACACATTTGGATAAAATTTTTGACAGATTGTTAATTTATTTGCTCACATTTATTTTTTCAATCGTACAAGTTACAATTATTTATCACCCGTTGTTTAGTTTTGACATCGTGTTATTATTCTGGTACACGGTGTATATTAATTGGTACACAGTATGGAGATCTCTTGATTTAATAACATTTACATGTTGTTGTTTGATGTGTACAAACTGATATATATGTTGTACGCATTGATTGATACCATGTACCACTGGTTATTTTGTTTTGAAATATGAATAATTCCATTTGGACACATGATTACACATTTGGATAAAATTTTTCACACATTAGTAATTTATTTGCTCACATTTATTTTTTCAATCGTACAAGTTACAATTATTTATCACCTGTTGTTTAGTTTTGACATCGTGTTATTATTCTGGTACACGGTGTATATTAGTTGGTACACAGTATGGAGATCTCTTGATTTAATAACATTTACATGTTGTTGTTTGATGTGTACAAACTGATATATATGTTGTACGCATTGATTGATACCATGTACCACTGGTTATTTTGTTTTGAAATATGAATAATTCCATTTGGACACATGATTACACATTTGGATAAAATTTTTCACACATTAGTAATTTATTTGCTCACATTTATTTTTTCAATCGTACAAGTTACAATTATTTATCACCTGTTGTTTAGTTTTGACATCGCGTTATTATTCTGGTACATGGTGTATTTTATCTTGTACACTACAAACCATATCATTTGAAATCTATTGCATAGTTACTTCAGTCTAATGCATTGGTTATGTGTTTTATTCATAGTAGCCCGTAAGTTTGTAGTATAACTTTACAATGTATTCATTTATGGTCACGTATGTACTGAATTTTGATTTTTGTTTAGATTACTTTCAGTTGATTTTTGTTTACATATTGTTAATTCAGTTGAACATGTTGTTATAAATTATGTAAACATTTGTATCATAATTTTCGTACAACCAAACATCTTAAATTTTGGACACAATGTGTATTTACTTTTTACAAATTAGTTAGTTTGCTGTTATACACAGTGTTAGCATGACTTTGCAACTAATGTAATGTGCTACTCGTGATAGCAGTCATTCAGTGAATCAAATTTTGGATCATCCCCAGTTATTCACTCAGATATGCAGTCTTGTAAGATGGTAAGTCAGATATTGCACTTGTGTGAATAATCAAGATTTTGGACAAATTTACAGTATCTTATTCAGTACAATACTTAATGGTAGCCCGGTGAAGCTGGAATCACTCCTCAAATATTGAGTGCTCATAATATTCGTATTCAAAATCGTAACAATCTCCCACTTTTGCTTCCCAACGATCCTGTGAGCAAGACAAAGTACACAAGTTTCACCGAATTCTTAATGGTCAGTAATTCTTTAAAAAATTCATTATTTACAGTTATTATTTAGAACTATTCTAACCTTGTTACAAGACTATTGTAGGGCATGCTATTATGAACACTGAACTTTTGATTTAAATAATTTATTGCTTGTTTCAATGATTGCCAGACCCCTATTGTGGCCTCTGTGGAAAGGTCAAAGAACAGTATTCTCATGCAATTAAGCGACGAAGAAGTGCAACTACCTACGATATAATTGGGTAGAAGCTAATTGCCTTCCATGAATATGTATGCTAAGCTGATGTATCTTGTGACCCTTTTGGAACTGGATTGGAACAATGTAATACTAAAATGATTGTTTTACTTTTATATTAGATAGCAGTTTGAGAATTGCAATCAATGCAGAATAGTTTTACACCTTTTACTTCTATTCAATTGATTACAAGAAGTTATATATTCATCGTGGTGTCCCAACCCTGTCTGACGCAAACAAAAAATGAAGCATGTCCCAATAGTAATGAACTTTGCTCCCAACACAAAATTCTATATGTCCCACTAGTAGTAAAAACTTCATAACTAATGAACTTGCTCCCAACAGTAATCCCAAAAGGAGATAATTCTACACGACACAAGTGCAAAATTCTACACAACACAACTCATAAATTACTAAATATTTGTCAATCATTTATTACAACTGGTTTTTTCGTCGGGGAGGGATATTTAACAACTCAAGGATGGATTCGGCCCATTCGTTATGCTCGGCTGCAACCAACAAAGACACATATTGCACTCGATACTTCCACATGTTATCCTATCAAGCATTGAAATAATCAGCACCACATGTTATACATTAGTCATCATAAAAATAATTGCTACCAAAAAATTTCTATAAATCAAAATAATATATATACCTCCGTAATGCGTATGCCTAATCTTCCATTCCAGTGCTCCAGAAATTTTATTACGAACACACCACAATCATAGCTGAAACACCAGGTATACATTGTGGTGACAACCAGATTGTAGGACATACAAGTTTTACCTTACCATCCTAATAATATAACTTAGTATTTAGTTATATTTCAAGATAGAATATAAATAAACTCTTATTTACAGGACATATACCTATTGTGTAGAGACTGTTGAGGCACATCTGCGACTTGCAATACAAATCTCTCGAAATCCACCAACTTATCAAATTGTTTTGCCATTATTAAGCCCAAGGTTCGCATATGCAACATAAAAATATACTTTTCCTTATTACACTTTCTCACTAGTTATATAATTTAAAGCCATGAAATAGATGCATTAAAAATTCAAGGTATAAATAGTGTTTAGATTTCACCAGTCGTCGTAAGATGTTAGTCTGTCGAACCCGTGATGAATCAACTCGTGAGTCAAGGAGATGAACAATGCTTTGTGCAATATCAAATGAGTACACAAACCAGTGACTTTTGTTCACCACCGGAACCAGTATCTGAAAATATAATGTGTTAGACTTTACAAATGCAACATATTTGATATAAAATAAAAGGTATTTGATCCAGCAGTTATAAGAGATTGATCACCAAATCGGCATTTGCTAGACTTGACGCATTATCTGCTCTTATTTTGAACCACTTGTTCAGTTTCGAATATAGGACATCATCAGACTTTTTCTCAAATCGGTCTACACCTTGAATGGCAGCCTGCCCAACAAATCAATGAAATTGGATCGAAAGTCATACAATAGTTAGAAATTGCACGAGCAATTTATACTATTTAATAAACATTGGAATCAAATTTTCTAATAAACTAACAATAAGTG